TATGTAAAAAGTTTTCATTAAGTTTAATAAAGATAAGAGCATGGTCTCACCTTTAACATTAAAAAAAAAAAAAAAAACATTATAATCAAAGGTATAACAATAAAAAGTTTATTTTCCAATATCCATCCAATAACTGAATATAGTATCGAGTATATTGCCATAAAAATCCAAATTTCTTTTAAACGCATTTTCAGATGACTGATACCATTATTCTTTTTGGTTTCTTTTTTTAAAACAAAATCAGAGTAGTGACCTCCGATAAAACTGCCAATAATGTATCCTAAGCCTTGAGAAAAAAATACAAATCCAACTTTGAAAGTACTAAGATTGTAAACCCGAATAAAAATTTTTGCTATTAAAACATCTTGAGTATATACTATTGTAGTTGCTACACCAAAGTAAATTAGGGTTAATGTGACCTCGGGATAACAAAGTAAGTGGAGTGGAGAAAATGGATTAAGACTTTTTCGAATCATGTCAGATGACGATTTGAAGGTTTCTGGGAGAGTAAAAAAAATAAGTACAAATAAAAAACCACCAAATATTGCGAGTTACCAAAATATCCAATGCCATCCGAAATATTGAGCGATGTATCCGCCGGTTGTCGTTCCAACTAAAAAACTAATCAAGGGACCGATGTAAACTATTTCATAAGCACGACCGATTTCTTCGAGGTCATATACTTCTGGCACCAACACTTTGTGAAACCGAAGCACCGCATGCCTCCAAAGATCGCATTGATAATAATAACCAAATATCATTTGAAAGACCACAAATTACACTTGATATTGTAAACATTATAGTTGCAATCAAATATATCTTTCACCTAGTGGAAAAATACTCTCCTACATAAAAACCGATAAAATTACATCACAGTTATAAAACAAATAAGTTAGTAAACTAATCATTCGAGTGGGGTAGGCCCCAGCGCCAAGTTGCCCTGACTCAGATGTTTCAAGAGTATGTTTCTCGCCCCGTTATAATCCCTATCAATCACGAAACTACACATGTTGCATTTGTAAACCTTTGCGCTGCCAAGATTGTACTTGATGCGTCCACAATTTCCGCACGTCTTGCTAATGTAATGCTCGTTACAAAGTATCAGTAAACGACCAGGATACTCTCGTATCTTGTGAATCAAGCGTTGTTGGAAACTATAATGAGACCACGTCAACATCATTCTCGCAGTCTTGCCGTTAATTTTTCTCTTGAAATGCTCAGACTCTTGGTTCTCGAGTCCTTTCTTTCTCACCATGTTCTTGGTCTCAAACCTAGGTAACAAGATAGTGTTGTAGTTTTCACACAAATCTTTTGCAATCTTTTGATGACAGTCCTTGATCAGGTTCCTTATCTTGTCATGTATCTTCAGCATCTTTCTTCTCAGAGTGTATCTCTTACGCTTGTTGAGCTCGCCTTTGAGTTTGGATCTTTCGCTCTGATACTTGTCATATTTCCTGCACAATCGATAGATGCGTGCGACATCTCCTTTACCCCATTCAATGATCTTTCCACCAGGATCATAGCAAGTCATAAAGGTTCTGACACCGGGATCGATAGATACAAAGTTGTTGTCTTCGTAGTAATATTCTTTTATGGTACACATACGCAAAAATAGAATCTACCAAGTCTGTCTCTCGTGATGTTGACAGCATTATTTATCTCTGGTAAACTTTCGGATGTCTTGATATGTTTGAGAAACGCATATTCACCTCCGTCGCGTATAAAATCTCTCTTTTCAACGGTGATGGTTTGAGACTTGTATTTCTTTGATCTCTTCTTGATCTCAAATTTGAAATTCTTGTTTTTCTTACGTTTGGCAAAATTTGTTTTGTATGCGGTCATCAATTCGGAAAACGCACGGTCACGTATCCCAGGAGGGGTATCCTTTACCCAAGTGTTCTCAAATTCATAGTTATCGTTATTAATCACTAGTTTCCTCAGTTGTTTTCTGGGTATATGTTCTCTTTCCTTTATCAGGTCGAGACATCTGTTGTATGTCCATCTCGCTGTACCCATCCATTTTAATAATGTTTCTCTTTCTCGAGGGGTAGAATACATCCTAATCTTTAGAGTCTTCAATTTCCTGTCTTCTACGTCTGTTGGATATGAAGACAGTGACAATAGATAGTAAATCTTCCGCGAGTTCTCCTGTACCAGGATCGTTTGATTCGACATCCGTACTGAGAACCACGAGTCTGACTCGACATTATTCAGACTTGTATTTCCCGGTGACCACAGCTTTCTTGATATCTCCTTGGTATATTCGTTCCAGAACGGACGTATATATCTGTCATCTCCGACCAACACATGACCAGATATCAGTAATGATCTCATGATCCGGAAGTTAAGAAGCGATACATGCACGCTTCCTATCGAGGCCATCTTTCTGCTCTTCGCTGAATACTCATACATATCAAACCTTTTTCTTTTACGTGGTCGTGGATATTTTATAATCATTTTGTAATTCATGAGACCGATAAAAGTATTTTTGTTCACAACTTTTATACGTCCTCTAAAACATCTGATGCTCTAACAATAGGGGAAATAATTACTCACCATAACGTAAATGGATGAACATCAAACAGGAATGCTACGGAACGAAAGAGATGATGAGTATTCGTCACCACAGAATTCAGAATAATTTTAAAACTCACCATGAGAATCACGTATTTTCAAACATAATGTGATCGTATCCAGTTAGTATCATACTAAATGATAAATTTAGAAATAAATAATAAAATTTCGTTCACCTGAATAAACAGCCCAGAAGAGTGGGGCGATACCGAGAAATAGAGTAAATACTCCTACTAGTGCATTTGTCGAGATTTTCGAAGTGTGTAACGTATTTTGAATGCCAACGATAGCTGGGTATATTATTCTATAAAAATAAAATTAGTATTTGAAAGATAATTAATTTTGATACGGGAAACTTACGATACTGATATAGCAGGTAAAGTCCAATTGGCTGAAAGTATAAAAAGAATAAAATTTTTTCTTTTGTTGACCAATACTTGGGATTATTATCATTAAGTTGCAGTATGATTCGATTCATCTAGTTAGTTTTATTGTGATATTTTATATTAAATTTATAAAGTGTATTGTACAAGTAAATTGTTATTATTCATTAAAATAATTTCAATAGGAATTGAGGTGTCATATATTTATTATAAATGCTGCATTATATAATAAGTCTTAAATACAATTCGTAAATATTAAAACTATTATCTGTTTTAACAAACATTTAGGTTGAGACTTGACTATGTAGAAGTGGAAACCAGGAAATACAATGATATAATTTCTTTTCAGTGAAAAGATTGATGATGAATTGAAGAAGATGAAAAGATGATGCAGTTATATGCTGTTATGGGTGACGTCTTAAGATGACCAAGGAGAAGAAGACCAAGAAGCTACAGTTTCTTTCGGAGGAATTTTAAAGATGGTGATGGTTTTCAGTAGTTGTTGATATTCCAAGTTAATGAATTATTGAATGAAAGTAGAGTTTGGATCCGTTATCTGTTTCATATTAAATTTAACGGATATCCGATGGATTTTACGATTAAAATTAGTATTCAATGGATAACGAATACAAACTCTACTTTCATTCAATAATTCATTAACTTGGAATATCAACGACTGGTATATTAGTTATTCGATTAAGATTAGTACGGGACCTTTTAGGATATGAGTCAATTATGATAGACAAAAGAATGTTCGACTACTTGTTTTGTAAATAGTATCATGTAACTTTATTATTTCTTATACATATTTAAATAATTAATATGAAATAAACATTTTAATGTTTCTTATTGTTTTTCAGTTCTAATTCTTCATATTGAAATTTCAGTAATGACGTAAATAAAATAAACAAAAAGAATAACAAGTATACATTACTATTATGGTAATTTAAGTGACAACTTCAGTAAATCAATTTTTTATATTATGTATAAATATTATCCCTTAAACTGTATTCCAGGCAAATTTTTATATCATATGATTAATTTTTTTATAGTGCCGAATTGTACTAAGTAAATGCCCCCTAATGTATGATTTTCCAAAATCAGAAACATTGTACTACCAAAATTTCCAGGCAGTACACACTCTTTTTTAAAATGAATGAAAAATCGATATAAAAGTTAAAGATCGGCTTCTATTTTAATAGGCGTTTTGATTTTTTTAAAAAACTTTACGAGAAGATATCTCAACAATTATCTGACTAAATTTAATAATTTTTTTTTTATTTGAATTCTATGGATTCATAAAATTCGAATAAAAAAATTTTTTACCGAATTTGGTCAGGTGGTTGTCGAGATATCTTCGCACAAAGTTTTAGAAAAAATTTTGTATAGCTATTTTAATGTGTTGATTTGGTTTAAAACTTTGAGCAAATATATATCGGTAGTCACCTGACCAAATTCGATGAAAATTTTTTATTTGAATTCTATGAATCCATAGAATTTAAATAAAAAAAAGTTCATTAAATTTGGTCAGGTGGTTGTTGAGATATCCTTGCTCAAAGATTTAGAAAAAATTTGGCGCAGCTTCTATTTTGATCAGCGTTTTGATTTATTTAAAACCTTGAGAGAAGATATCTCAACAACCACCTGACCAAATTCGATGAAAATTTTTTTATTTGAATTCTATGGATTCATAGAATTCAAATAAAAAATTTCATCGAATTTGGTTAGGTGACTGTCGATATATATTTGCACAAAGGTTTAGAAAAAATTGTGTATAGCTATTTTAATAGGCATTTTGATTTGGTTTAAAACTTTGAGCAAATATATATTGATAGTCACCTGACTGAATTCGATAGAAATTTTTTTATTTGAATTCTATAAATCTATAGAATTCAAATAAAAAAATTTTTATCGAATTTGATCAAGTGGTTATTAAGATATCTTTTTTAAAAAATTTAAAAAAATTTGGCGCAGCTTCTATTTTGATAGACGGTTCAATTTTTTTTCTTAAAACTTTGAATAAAAATATCTCATTAACCACTTAACCAAATTCTATAAAAAATTTTTTATTTGAATTTTATGAGTTTATAAAATTCAAGTAAAAAAAAATTTATTAAATTTGATTAGGTGGTTGTTGAGATATTTTTGCTTAAAGATTTAGAAAAATTTTGGCGCAGCTTTTATTTTGTTAGATGTTTTGATTTTTTTTAAAACTTTAAGCAAAGATATCTCAACAACCACCTGACCAAATTCGATGAAATTTTTTTTATTAGAATTCTATGAATCTATAGAATTCAAATAAAAAAATTTTTATCGAATTTGTTCAAGTAGTTGTTAAGATATTTTCATTTAAATTTTCCAGGCAAATTTGCCTGGAAATGATCTACAGATTAAGGGATAATAATTATAATGATAAGAAAATGCAAATTTTAAAGAGCTATACATTAATACTTCTGCGAAAGGTATTGAAATGACTAAACAAATATGTTTATAATTATACAAAATAATAATAAAAGATAGCAGATGTTGTGTCTTAAGGGACGCCACCTATACTCGTCAGTCGGGATCGTCTCGCCCTAAGCTGGGATTGAACACTCAACCTAGGGATCTACTAGGTACACATGCCCAACCCATTGTCCCACATCCGCTCCTTGTCTAAATTTTTTCACAGACCCTTTTTAGTCAGCAGGGCTTTGCTAATAATTGTCCAATAGGAATATTTAAATTTGGTCAGATGAAATGCAGGGGTAAAAAATCTAAAAAAAATTTTTAAAGTTTAAACAGCAATAATAATAAAAATGACTAGACGATTTAACCATAGTCGACGAAGGTCTTCTGGCCGACATCTTAGGGGAAGTTCTGATAATCCTCTCTTCGAAGCCTTAGACGTAGTCCAAACAGAGAATAGAAGGTACTTATAAGTAATATATTATATTTAGAGATAATATATATTTTAAAACTTTGGGTAAATTTATTTAGGTTGGTTCGAGAAATAATAAGTTTACGTCGTCGTATTCGTAATTTGGAGGAAAGAGTTGAGGTGCAGCAAGAAACTATCGTCGAGAGTGTTCAGGGGAGTTGGATGAGAGATGCAGAGTATGAGAGGTTGTTAGTGGAAAGGAATAGGTTGAGAGCTCGAGTAGCGGATTTAGAAGAGCGGGTTGAATTAAGAAGAGATAATAATAATGATAGAGGTAGTGATGGTAGTAGAGATAGGATGGTGGGATTTGGTTTCTTTGGAGGAGGAAATTTCGCATGATTAAATTTATTTTGCGATACAATATTTTTACGTAAAATAATTTCATATGTGTTATGTTATGTAAACAATTCATTTTTTTTTAAATAATATCATTACATTTATTTTCAAATAATTATACTTTAATAGTTTTATTATAAAGGTCGTATTACAATGTGATTAAAATTGAATATTCAAAGTATAAATATAGTTTTAATGAATAAAATTTTGTTTAGTCATTGATATTCCAATACCGGGAAGTCTTGAATAGTAGACGTATTCAGGAATTCCAAGAATTGGAATATCAACGATTGTTAATTATACATTCTTCCTTTTCCTTTATCGTCATCGGGGAAATCGTCCTTTTAATTCAATCATTTTAATTTTAATATTTACAAGTTCGGTCTTCAGTCTTTGATTCCATAAGAATGTTAGGGTGTCACACGGCCTATTTAATCAAACCTATGTAAGGTCACTATGTAATTTTACTATGATCAAATTTTTAAT